AGTCAGTCTCTAATTGGCATATGTGCATACTGTGCGTATTGCCTCGATATAGCCTTATTTCACAAGCATTGTAAGCAAAGATGGATAGTGGCTAGCAGTGGAATCCAGGACGTGCGTTTCGTCCTATTTGGGACTCGTCAGCTGGATGTACCTGCATCTCAGAGTTGATATTCACTCTGGGACTCGAACCGAGTATTTTTCGCTTCAAACGCCATCGCGTTATCTACCGAGAGTGAATATCAACTTTGAGATGCAGGTACATCCAGCTGACGAGTCCCAAATAGGACGAAACACGCGTCCTGGATTCCACTGCTAGCCACTATCCATTTTTGCTTACAATTTTAAAGATTAATAATTTGAATGTTTATTTTACACTAAACTTTAAGTAAAGCTAATATTTTAAATATGAAGAGAAAGGTAATTACTACCATTCACTTATAATTTAATTATTCGTATTCATATACACGTAATTTTAAAATAATATGCATTTTGTTTAAGTAACAAATATACGGGGTATCATTGTTATTAATTTAATGACATGAAACATTCAAGTAATATGTAACGTTATATTATTGAATCTCATAAATGTTTCAATATAAAATTACCAGGGTATTCTAAATTGAATGCAGTACACAATGGAACGTATAATTTATTATTATTGAATATAGACTACCAATCAGATAGAAGAAACATAATTCAAAAATAGTATAATATTGTAATTAACTCAATTCGAGTTTGTTTTGTTTTGTTTCGTTTGTTTGTTTGTGTTTTTTCGTAGCAACATGTCTGTACACTAAATAAAGGTAATGATAATCTGTAATGTAAATAAATATTGTATATCATTCATTTGTGCCTAATATGTATTACATTTAATATGAAATCATGATTTAGTTTTTTTTTATAAGGATCTACATACATTCATTATTTATTTATTTATTTAAACACATAAATAATGGTATAAGGGGGCATCAAATATATATGCGCCGTACAAATCTCATTCGATTTGTGTGAGGGTTGTGATACTGCCCAGGTGCCAAAACTGAAACAGCTGGTTTTCTTAGGGGCCCACACCCGGAGCCTTTGACCTAAAGGTCTAATCCACAAGGCAGTGGAACATCGTGAGAAAATACAGTTTCATGATAGTCGGTGACCAACGATTGGTTCATACGCCATTTGTTCCCTCAGGATACTGGAGCCCATGTGCACCATTGGTTTGGAATCAGGGTTTTCCAACTCCACTAGGTGGACCCTCCGTGTCCACCAACCCGGTTAAAGTGCCGGACATTCGCTATTCGTCCTCTCAATTTCGTAAACAACAGTAATGCCACGAGAAGGCAGTGAGTAGGACTTCCCTGACAGAGGCTATATACGTGTGGCCATGTGAGAGCATTTTGAGAGGGGGAGTGGACTCTCCCCACTCTCGACCGTACCAGAGCAGTTGGTAATCATTTAATGTTTATTTTCATTTAATTATAGTGTTTGTTTGTCATTGTTTTTTTGTTGTTAAATAAGTAGTTAAACTATTCAATTCAATGTATATATTACTACCAAATCCTTATGGTATGAATGTTTATAATGAATAAAACTGTATACTTTTACAATAATTAAACATGGTAGTAATAGTATTATTTTATTAATGTGAATTGAATAAAAATAATCTTAACAGAATAATAATAATAATATTAATAATAATATGGAAACTTATCAGTTGATTACAATCTAGGAATAATCATATTAGCTATAAACCAACCAATCAGAAAAACCATGGGCAAACGTAGCATCAAGAAACAGATCAAAAGGAGATACAATTAAAATGAATAGTAGATAATGATAGGTTAAAGGTCTACAATAACTAATTAAGATGGCGATCGACAGTACAAGCTAAAAATCGAACACTCCAATTCTACCTGAAGTTTATGTTGATAATATTGTTCAAAAGGACAATGAAAGCTCCACGACTGAACCATCCACCTCAAAGAAAGAAACCCCACTAAAATTATCCACCTGAGCTATCTCAAAACAGTTAGCAATCTGCTGAATGTATAGTGGTAATGACGTCTTAGGATCCGAATCAATCTTTCTTAAATATAACATAAGTATTATCTTATTTCTATTATTTTAAATGATTGATAACCGATGAATTTATAGAAAACTCAAATGTATATTTTAAAGTTATAAAGTTAACTGATATGTACAGAAATTATAAACAGAATGAAAGTGTAATAGAACTGAATAGACATAAATGGATTTAGGTAAAAGTAGTAGTATTAGTAGTGAATGAATAGCAGAATTATAACAATTTGTAATTGTATTGTATTTGAAATCACATCAGTACTACAGTACCTAGCAATTGTATTGAAACAAATTTTAACTCCGGAATCGTATTGTAATGAAATAAATCCAGAATACCATTAAATATGTTCAATCAACATTGCACTGAATGAATTAAGAACAAGTGTCCTATGATTACACTATACCCAATATAATTCAGAAGAATAATTTTAACTGATAGAATAAATAGATTAGCAAAGGTATACTACAATTAATCGTGCAATTCAACCAATGGAATGGAGCTAATAAATTTGTCACGTACTTAGATTGAGTATTCCGATGTGTGAACTTTACATTTGTATATTAATCATCCCAAATATTAAGTGTGATACATAAAATATGAATTCTCAGATTCGTCCAAAACGTGCTAGTAGTCTTACATAACCGTTTCCAATAGTAAAATGAGTCATTGTAAGCCGTAAATGGAGAAAGCTTATGGTCATTAAAATCAACCAGCTTACACAAATCCGAATTTTAAGGTTTGTTATCACAAATAGTAAAATGAACAGTAGTAGAATATACTGAACTAGTATGATCAATTTTGGCACGTTTAAAACACTTAGCATTATGAAATGTGCATGATTTACTTGAATGAAATTTACTATAACATAGATATTTCACATTTTTGTACTCATTTTGATATTTCCTATCATAGTGTTTCTTATATATTCATGAAAATGAAAACCATTATTAATCAAATGCAGATTTGAACGACCTTAAACACCTGAATTACGACCGAGAAAACTTGTCCATAACACGTTGATGTTTGAAGCAATAGGCACTGGATTTGTGTTCTATTTATAAACGTTAATAATGCGATACAGATACATAAGACTATCGAGGCTGTTCTGAACTTTAAGACAAGCGAAAACCCAATGGTAAAGTATAACTAACTTCATAACTCATTAGCAGTCTAAATCGTTTTACACAAGCAGAGAAATCACTTGAAAAGTTTAGCTCAAATTTGGTTTTGTTTACAATCAGAGGTTTATCAATAGGCTTAAATACAGGACATTTCGCAAAATGTGGACGAATTTACGTACTAGGCCAGTCGACTTAGAAATAAGCATGAACACTTATCCATCACATTACGTTTGCTTAACTGGCAGCCTGCTCAAATATCTGGGCTACCTATTCCTGCCATCTAGATATTTTAAAAAGTTATGTTTTTGTTTTTTTACACATCATTATGTCTACTAATCACATAACCTAAGTTTACTACCTTTCGCTGTACAAGTTACAAAAAAATGCAATAAAAGACATCGTAATGGCTAGAAATATGCATTGAGAAGGACGAACATTACTCAGATTTCGATTCCTGAGTAATGTGAGAATTCTGTATTGTACCAAAAATATAATATTGAATAAAGTCATTAATTATAATAACTGTTATCATTATAATACCTAGTTTGTTCGACTATTAGAAAACTGCCATCAAAGCACTTAAATAAATAGTCTTAATGTTGGTTTAATAGGCTTATGGGGATTGTTTAGTTTGTGATTTACACCACGCTTACATAGCAGTAGTAATTAACTAATAATCCGCGACAAGTAAACACTGCTAAATGTTGTCTACAATCAATGCTCGAATCACGACTATTTGAGTCGCATACCGAAAGTCCTGATCCTAGAGACTGGATAGATTTAATCATAGACCACTAATTAAGCCTTTTTCTTAGTACTGTATATGTAATCTGTACAACCAGTTTTAATAACTATTGTTTTCTATAAGTTAACGCGAACGAAACTGTAACAGTTGATACTTTTAGATGTTCTATAGGATTAAACAACGAAAGTAAGAATTTCTAAGAAAGTATATTTCTAACGTCATTTGGCAGTTACTAAACGATGATTGTCGTCAATCACTAGTAATATACTAGTTCTACAATTATAAGTAACAGTAAACCAATGAATTAAGTGAACATCTCTCAGTAATTAAGTCGTAAACCTAACATTAATTCTGGTGACTTAAGTTTAATATATTTCATCTAAGAATTTCTCAAACCAAGTAGTCAGTTTACAATATCCTAAAGTTGGTGATCACCCATAGCTTTTGTATGATACCTATTTTTCTTAATATGGTTCAGTAAAAAAGTTACAACGTTGTTCGTTAGCTTCATCCCTTCCTCCTAATAATTGGTGAAATAACACATCATTTGCTCGAGAATAACCAGTATCATCGTATATATTTATCAGTTCACTGAATTCCATCCTTTAAGCTTTTGTTATGTTTGTTGAACTGGGTTACCTAATATCAGAGTGAATCATGTCTATTGATAGGTTGTTGGAAGCAGTCAATAAGAATAGGTTTCTGATGTGTGGGCGAGAATGACAATGATTGGTTGTCTTGATGAGTCAGACATTAGACAGGATGACAGGTGTTATATGTGTTATATATATATATATATATATATATATATATATATATGTATATATATATATTCCCCTATCCTCATTATGTATTAACTGTCCCTTGATGATGGATACTTATTAATTGACTGTTCCTTGTGTCGAATTTTGTTGTGGAAATATATTGCGATATAGTCAGGCTAATCTCGTGTTCTTGATCTGAGTTATGTTGAAGTCCTGTAGAATAGACACTGGGTGGGAATCTAGTGTAGATATTTGTCTAAGGTAATTTAACGCCCCACATACGTGTGAGAAGTGAAAGGACTGTTATAACAAGAAACCCCTAGAGTTATAACCAGCATCCTTACGTTTATAACAGTTTCATGTTCGTATTCATCAACAATACTTTTTACACTTCAAAAAAATCAGTACCAATATCTTTCTATCTAGCACACAATATATGTGTCAGGTCCACCTGTATTGGTACATCTAACCACTTGACCTCATTAGTAATTTCATTTCGCAAAAGCGTACATTAGTTACTAGAACATTTGGTTTTTAACCATTACGGTGTGAATTCAAACCACGAGACACTTATATTAGTTTAGGAGTCTCGGTAGTATAATCTTCATTCAGACACTGGGGTATAGAGCTGAGAATATTAAACTTGTGAGCCACATCATACCTTTTAATGAGGGTTCGAGTTAAGATTGATAACTTACTTCAGTTAAATGCGTTAATGTTATTGTCAGCTGTTAATTACAACTAAACAAATCATATTTCCGCAGTTTTTGTAGTTGTTTTACGCATGGTTTTATATTAGTTATAATTGTTATAATCACTATGAAAGCAAAACTAAATCCCATTCATAATTGATTATTTATATTGTCATATGTGTTCATTGAATTTAACGTGACTAAGGTCATTTTGTTGACGCTTTTGAACAAAAAAAACCTACATGATCACATCATAAACAAACTATGACCACTTTGTTTTCATAGAAAATTTACTTTTTTGTTCACTACTATCTGATCAGTACACTAACTTTCTATTACTTCATATAACCTGAAGGAAATGAAAACCAATCAATCATCATCAACGTAGAACGTGTGCATCGGCTCAAGCTGCCATATTACATCAATTTAGGAAGATGAAACCAGTAAGTTGAACAGCAAATCAGAATAGTATCAATGATAAAAAGCAAACTAAATATGATTTGAGGGAACGGGACAAAATTACACAATAAGAAACATGGAATCATAATGAAATTCAAGATCTATGGTAGGTTGGGAAATGAGCGCACCTACACCACTGTGACTGATTTTGAACTATGTCACTTTAATGTCACGATCAACATACATATACCAACCAATTAGTGTGCACATAATAACACAATTCAGCTTAACAAGTGATGGTTTCATGAGTTGAAATTATGTCTTGGTTTGTCCGTCCCTAGCTTTCTTCCACCTTACTCTAGCACGTTACCAATTGTGCCAGGGCTGGTGATGATTAGGCACATGTTTGTAATAAATTTAAGAAATACAACGCCATTCTTGACTTCGATATTAATCTGTTTTGACTTGTACCAATAAATACTCAGGGTGCATACATATGATTAAATGGCAGGGTTATTTTTTTGGGTACTATAGCCTTTATGCACACTATAATATTTCCATACAAAAAAGAGCAGTCCAGAATTTCATTGTTATTTTTTATTTAGTAAATATATAACAGGCTTTTTATGTTATTTACCAGATTTACTGTTAATCTATTTTGGAGGAGTATCTTCACCACCAAAAGTAGCATCCCAACCTTGCAGAGGCCATTTTATGTACCTGCTAGAATTTAAGTAGTTCTTGATTTGTGGTAAATCCTGATTTAAAAGAGAAAAAGTAGATGAGGGTCCGTCGAATCAGATGAGAAGTAAAAACACCTTATCACGAACTTACTTCAATGCACTTTTTGAAAGAAACTAATTTTGGGAACTCGTTCAAGCACTGTGAGTCCATGTATAAAACCACATCAAGGGCGTCGTATAACATAAAGTCAGGATGAGTTACCTGTAAAGATAAAGGGATCATAAGAACTCGAAAAAGTGACTATACTTGTTTTTTAGAGCTCATTTAGAAATACAACTACTATGATAGTCAGTATAAGCTAAATATTGCATTGCTTTGTTATAAACATAAACTTTTAATCCGGAAATAAGTCTATCCTAGTGATGTGAGCAATGTATATGAGTGAATTACTAGTTAGGTACTACTAAACTTTTTTCCGTTGTTAGCAACCACGAAGCTCTCATGTTAGAATGACTTACAGGTTGGAGAATTTCTGTGATTTAGCTCGAAATCGGTCTGCTGATGTGGAAACATGTATTTTTTCCCTTTGTTTTCATTTCAAGCATTTTCTTAATTATTTTGTCTTAATATAGTGGGTTTTTATCTCGTCATTTTCGGTTTACTCACACATGTGGAAAATTAAAGCTGGAATTTGTGAAATATATACCTACGTATCCTGTTACGCCGAAACATGATCAGTCATAGACATAAGATTATCGGAGTTCGCTTTTTAGACCAGGGAGATACAAATAGAACAATGAATTGAAGGTCAAGTGAATAAAATTTGATAACTTACACAATTACCGTTCAAATAAGTTTTGTTGGACAAACGATCTTCGAACATTTTCAGCCTCCCAGGAAGTTTGTTGAGGAAATCAACTTTGAGGGTTTCCTTAAAATAAGTGAATTTTAATTCTTGCTCACATATTCCTTATTGTATGTGATTCTTAAAACACCCATCCTAATGTCCAAAACCGCTTCTTCAAGCATCGAAATTTCCGCATGTTCTTTTTGACAAGCCTCCACTGAGAACATAGATTATTATTTTAGCTTACACATGTTGTGTTTGTCAGCTATATAATGTATGATAGCCATAGATTGTGTTAATTTAAAATCACCATTAATATAATAAGGAAGCTAGACAATTAAATTATTACAGTAAAATAGGTGTTCTACATTTGGAAACTCCAGGCCTAATTTAAATTTATCGTTGCTCCAGGCATCGATTTCATTGCGATCATACGCACGTTCCTCATAAGTTTCTTCAAGGTATTCCAAAAGAAGTCGAGTTGGTTGTACAAGCTAAACAGTAAAGAAGCTTTTAAATTATGTACATAAATACAGCGTATAATTATTATCATTTGTCAGATGCATAAACTAGTTAAATGATAACATGAAAGCAAAGATGGATGGTGGCTAGCAGCGGAATCCAGGACGCGCGTTTCGTCCTATTTGGGACTTGTCAGCTTCCAACGCTTGTGAAATAAGGCTATATCGAGGCAATACGAGCAGTATGCACATATGCCAATAAGATACTGACCAGTTGCAGTCCTAAACATCAATGAGAAGATTCAAATAAGTAATACTAAGTGAATGATAACATGAAAGTTACAAAAACTATTTGAGTAAACTGGTGGTCGGTAAATGAAGTCACATTCATAACAAGACTAGGGGAATACATGAACGTCTGGTATAGTTCAAAAAATATCAGAACATCTATTCAACCTGAGTTGATTTCATAATCAGCCTACGAAAACTTGGCATGGAAGTGAAAATTTAGAATGTTGAATGGCATACTAAAAGCCAAAGAGTTTCATTTTTCTACGAGAAACAATTGTCTTTATGAAACTTCTAGAAAACGATATTATCACATCAGGGTGTGAATTTAAAGCAAGAAGATACTTTTTAGTTACGAATATGTAGAGTCGAATCTTACCATTAGTATTATTGGTATAGAATTTTAACTTAAAATATGAGAAATTTATTGCTGAGTAGAATTGTTTTTGCATATCTTAAACGAAACTAGAAGGATTTCGTATTAGGATGATTACCTTTTTAAGAAATAAAAGCTAAATACGTCAGTAACAAAGTGTACTAATTTTTCGGCGATTATAAGCTTATCATCAGCAATGATTTTTAGTGTCTTGATCCCAAACGTGAAAATCATGTCAAATTTATTTGTTTGTATACCAAAGCATGTTATTACTAGATAAATTTTACCGACAAAATGAGTTTATCATATGCATTGCTATAATTGGGAACGACTAGTTGGGCAACAGAAAAAGTGCTTTCACACTAAGCCTCCACTAAACATGTAGCAGTAAATAAATACCCAAAATAAATAACTCTGGAACTCTTCGACATTGATCTCATTAGTTTCACTGGAAACTTAGCTGAAGCTGCTCAGTCAACAACACGCAGTGCTACGCATCCCTCATAACTAGTCAGTTTAAATTACACACATAACCTTACAAATATATATTCGAACCACTTTATTCCTAACTTGGGGTTTGACTGGGCGTTACAGACAACAGCGATGTCAAGCCCTGAATATCCGTAATATATATATATATATATACAACACTGACGATGTAAATGGTTCAAATGGTTTTGCACGCAATGGAAGAAGCATTCGCTTAACGGGCTTCAATATCTATAGATGAAGTAGATCGTCAACACCTGCAGACAGAAACCTAGTATGATGATCAGAAGTATTTGAATTGTAGTATAAACTAGTAATCCCAGAAATAACGCAATTTAATCCAGAAGTGCAAGAGGAGCACAAACGAATGTATTGTATTTGGAATTCAAAATTACAACAGTCATCAATACGAAGAAGTCATTGATTTATTTAAACATCACATCCGCCACAGCTCGAATCGGAGTGTAAGTGTCTGTAATCGATTGTTCGTCTTCTTCTTAAGTTCATCTTACATGTGTCCGATGATGTATTGGATGTACACTCTGTATTATCTAGAATGCACTCATTAGTATTAGAATTAACAACGAAAATTGGAAGACTCACCTAGGTTCTGGAATTGTATACAATCAGCATGTCGGTTGTGTAGTGAGACCATTGATATTTAGAATTTGCATCTTATACTTTCCAACAATGTCCTCCCCACGAAATAATGTTGGGTCCTTACGTTGCAATGTTTTAGCCAATATGACGTTCCCAATTTGCAGTATCTTCTCAAATCTCACGCATCGCCTACTGTATGTGAGTATTTTTCTTTCGAGTCTTACATGAGACAAATTAGGCAATCAGTACACAGTGGGTATTCCGTGGCTAAGCAAGCAGCTCAGCGTTATGCGGAACAAATGTCTTTCTGCGATAGGCTGCAGGTTGACATTTCGACTAATGATAACCCAGTTATAGGTACGGCTGATTCACGCAAGCAAGTAATAATGTTTAGGAATAGCCAAATAAATTCTTTTCATCCTGATAACGTTGTAGTAGTAAAGGGTAAGCCGGGATTGATTACTGATATTCAGGATAGTGGCCTATTGAAATTCAGGCAATTTACTGATCCATTTCCTTCCACTGACATAGGAATATTTAAATGCTCCGTAGTTTGCAGTGCTTACAGTTGGGTTTCCATCTGTGATGTTGACTGTAAATGTATGTCTATTAATTGTGTTAATCATTTGGTTATTGTCCCTTTGTTGCACACTGTAATGTAATTGTATTTCCTTAAATTTCCTGTTGTGATATCTTTAGTCTCCAATCAATAAGTACGTAATCGTTAAGACACAAAGCAAAAGTAATCTCGTGATTGCATCGGGACTTTGGGTGATTGGAGAAAAACGCTGTCTATATCCGAGGGAGAACATTGACCTTCATCTGCGAAACAATGACCTACCGGAAGACAATTGGTCTATGTTCAAGTGCAGTATTGTTCACAAATGCGGTTAGTTAAAGACATGCAAATTATCGCTTCTTGTAGAAAGTCTCAAATCAGCAAATGAATTTTTAGCAGCGTTACAAGTGTGCTATGCTACTGATGAGAACGATCCGCCCGACGAAAATACGTTGCCCTTAAACACAGATAAACAAAAGAGGTCAGTTCAACAATCTTACTTACATTTCGTAGAAGTGCATTAAAACGTAAAGAAAGTTTTCTTTACAATTCCGTGGACATGGATGTCGCGGAGATGCAGGCTGGGAATACCCGCGTCCAATATCCAAAACTTCGGATGTTTGAGAACGTTGTCTCTCCCATTGCCAAGTAAGTATCTTTCATTTGGACATGTCTATTAAGCAGTTCGACACAATTAGACAGCTCGCCCTCCACATCCGAAGATAAAAATCTAACTGCTCAGTAAGTAATCCCTACGATCTACTTCCATTTTTCCGATTTGACAGAATTTATACTTTGCTGCTTAAAGTGTCAGCAAGCATTAGTGAACTGAATACAAATATGAAGCTGGTACTCTCAAAGTTCACTGACCGCCAAGATCCGCGTCAATTTGACTGTGGACTATCCAGCCAACAGTTCCCTTTGTCATCAGAAGAGGAACTGGGAACTTTGGACGCTTGTCTAGAGCACAAAGACGTTAGGGACAGATTTGTAAGCACAACATGATTTTTATCATTCATTCCTATTACAGATGGCTATGTTGACACGTCTAATGGATGACGATCCTAAAACCTCTATGCGATATATTCTGTCGTACATCATGAAACCGGAAGTCGCCATTAATTTCACATTGCTGGGTACTTCATCAAAAAGAGCGATTCAGAAGTGCAGGTTTTTACAGCTGCGCACGAAGTAAGATATATAGGCTTTTTAAACTTCAGGTGCACTGACTAATCGTTTCCTGTCGTCATCTATCAACGAGAAAGACCTTGCGAAACTCTATGACATGGCTACGCAATGTTATTTCCACGACATGAGAGACAAAGTCCAGAAGCGTCATCGACGTAACAAGGAACACGTAAGTACGGCTTTAAAGTGATTTCTGTTTTTGCATTATCTATAGGAACAGTCTTTCGTAATCAAGGATATAACCGTAAGTCCAGCTCCGAGTACCTTGTAGTGCAAAACAAGTTTCCTAGATTCCATAACGTTTTTCTTTATCACATTTTAGAATTCACAAGAATTGTTTGACTTTCCATAGTACAACAGGCCTGGTGGAAATAATGAATACGTGAAATGCCTGGTCCGTGACAATGACAATTACATATGGAGCATTGATACTCTACCATCTGCTCATTACTTTGTACATTGAAGTTTTTGTTTTCAATAAAAATTTGGAAATTATACTATATTTTACGCACTTTACATTATTCGTGTGCTGTGTTGTGGGAATGAAAGCGAACACAGGAGGCGGTAGCGGTAATTGCATTAGTGTGTATGTAGTGGAAAAGCAGTGAATGTAGCGGATATTGAAGGTAGAAGTCGGATATTTAGGGGAAAAGTCGGCTATTCGTCGGTTATTTAGGGGAAAAGTCGGCTATTCGTCGGTTATTTAGGGGAAAAGTCGGCTATTCGTCGGATATTAAGGGGAAAAGTCGGCTATTTGTCGGATATTTAGGGGAAAAGTCGTGGAAATAACATTGCGTAGCCATGTCATAGAGTTTCGCAAGGTCTTTCTCGTTGATAGATGACGACAGGAAACGATTAGTCAGTGCACCTGAAGTTTAAAAAGCCTATATATCTTACTTCGTGCGCAGCTGTAAAACCTGCACTTCTGAATCGCTCTTTTTGATGAAGTACCCAGCAATGTGAAATTAATGGCGACTTCCGGTTTCATGATGTACGACAGAATATATCGCATAGAGGTTTTAGGATCGTCATCCATTAGACGTGTCAACATAGCCATCTGTAATAGGAATGAATGATAAAAATCATGTTGTGCTTACAAATCTGTCCCTAACGTCTTTGTGCTCTAGACAAGCGTCCAAAGTTCCCAGTTCCTCTTCTGATGACAAAGGGAACTGTTGGCTGGATAGTCCACAGTCAAATTGACGCGGATCTTGGCGGTCAGTGAACTTTGAGAGTACCAGCTTCATATTTGTATTCAGTTCACTAATGCTTGCTGACACTTTAAGCAGCAAAGTATAAATTCTGTCAAATCGGAAAAATGGAAGTAGATCGTAGGGATTACTTACTGAGCAGTTAGATTTTTATCTTCGGATGTGGAGGGCGAGCTGTCTAATTGTGTCGAACTGCTTAATAGACATGTCCAAATGAAAGATACTTACTTGGCAATGGGAGAGACAACGTTCTCAAACATCCGAAGTTTTGGATATTGGACGCGGGTATTCCCAGCCTGCATCTCCGCGACATCCATGTCCACGGAATTGTAAAGAAAACTTTCTTTACGTTTTAATGCACTTCTACGAAATGTAAGTAAGATTGTTGAACTGACCTCTTTTGTTTATCTGTGTTTAAGGGCAACGTATTTTCGTCGGGCGGATCGTTCTCATCAGTAGCATAGCACACTTGTAACGCTGCTAACAATTCATTTGCTGATTTGAGACTTTCTACAAGAAGCGATAATTTGCATGTCTTTAACTAACCGCATTTGTGAACAATACTGCACTTGAACATAGACCAATTGTCTTCCGGTAGGTCATTGTTTCGCAGATGAAGGTCAATGTTCTCCCTCGGATATAGACAGCGTTTTTCTCCAATCACCCAAAGTCCCGATGCAATCACGAGATTACTTTTGCTTTGTGTCTTAACGATTACGTACTTATTGATTGGAGACTAAAGATATCACAACAGGAAATTTAAGGAAATACAATTACATTACAGTGTGCAACAAAGGGACAATAACCAAATGATTAACACAATTAATAGACATACATTTACAGTCAACATCACAGATGGAAACCCAACTGTAAGCACTGCAAACTACGGAGCATTTAAATATTCCTATGTCAGTGGAAGGAAATGGATCAGTAAATTGCCTGAATTTCAATAGGCCACT